ATCCGTACATGTGTACATCCGTACACATCCCACATGTGGTCCCTGAAAGGCTCAAAGGTCCCCTAGGGTGACAGGTGGAGAACTGGCCCATGTCTCAATGTCTCCATTTGTTCTTTTACTGTTGCTCTCTAACCCATACATTCTGCTTTTCCTGTATCCCACCCCCACCCACCCAGAAACAGCAAGCCCTTTTTGGACTATGGGGACACAGTGATGTATGGACTAGAATGCAGCCCCAGCTCCTGGATCCGGAGCCACTCCCACTGGGGAAGGTAACTGACTTTCCTGTTCCTCTTGGCCACAGCTCTCAACCTGGGGACCAGAGACAAATGGGTGATGTGGGGACAGAGTCCGGAGTGGAGAGTGGTGTTGGAGTTAGCTTTACAAATGGTAGACCATGAGCCCAGCCTTCGTTGGGCCTCAGGTTCCTTATATTTAACGCATGGTGCCTGACCTGAAGGACCTCTGAAGTCCGTGAGTGCTCTGAATTGTTCAACAGATGTATTTTATGCCGTCTTTCATAAGTGACACAAAGTGGTTCTAGCTTAGGAAAGGGACTTCCCTGGTATAAATTATGTTGTCCCCACCCTGCAGGGGCTTGTGGCCTTTGTAGGGTGACACCTGCATGGAAAGGGAAGAGAAGCCAGCAACAAGACAAGAGGTCAGGAATGGCGTGTGGATAAGAGTCTGGAGGATGAAATCTGGCCGTGGGGATGAAGGGCGCGGGTAGGCGAGGGCAGTGTGCAGAGCAGGTGGAGCGCTTTGGGGAATTTCTCCTGACTTCAGGAGACTGGAGAGAAACAAACCACTTTTTGTTCCTGTCTAGATATAGAGTGTTCGCATTGTCAAGGGCCTGAATATTACTTTGGTTTTAGTGAAGAGGTTGCTTGCTGTCATTATAGCTCCACCCTATGCTATGGTGTGTGTCTTTCTTCTCCTTTCCTCTTTCCTCCCTTCCTTTACTCTCTTTCTCTCTTTGGCAAAATCATCTGTTGAGGAGCAGTCAGGTTGCTGAGTGTCCACCATAGTTTGTCTGTCTGTCCCTTCCTCCTTTTCCTCTGTTCTCCCTCACACCCTTCCTTATTCTCATAGGAAGAACATTGTTTGCACTTGGCAAGAGGACACAGTTTGAAAAATAGAATTGAATATTGGCCAAAGTCCAGTGGTCTAGGTACCCTTCTGGTTCTTCTGGAACTTTCTGTATACATATAGACATGCACATGCTTTTACATTTACTCCTCCCCCCCTTTTTTGGCAAGTGGCTCTTCCTGTGTGTGCTGTTTGAAAATTGCTTTTTCTCCTTTGATACCTTGGGTAGTTTCCTACAGAAATGCTTCCAGATCTGACCCATTCTTTCTAATTGCTGTGCTATGCTCCATTAAGAGAGGTCTGAAGCCTGTTCATCTCGATGGGGTTTTAGATCGTCACCAGCTGTGGCTGCAGTGTTTCAGCCCAGGACTGCTCTGGCACAGCCGTTTCTGCATATTTACCTGCAACTAGATCAGTTCTTGGGTCCTGGTTGTAGCAGGAGGCTGAGAAGGGCTCTTTCTGCTCTTTCCTGCCAAGGGCTCTCTATAGGGTTAGGAAAGAAGATGAGTTCAGTGGATGGGCAGGAGAGGGCCAGGGGCCGGGCTGTGCTCTCGTGATGGCCTGAGCTCATGCATTAAGAGCGAAGGAAGGAATTTGCAGAGTATAGATAGCCCTTCCCCACACACCCCAAAACTGTTCTGGTGACACTGGCATACTGTGTCCTCTTACCACAGCCTGTCCTTATCACCTGCTCCTCAGATGGTCATCTCCTTGGAAACCTTTGGATCTGATGGTCTTTGTACTCCTCTGTCCCCTCTGCAGGCACATCGTGGACTTTTTCCTCATTGTCACTCAGCTGGGATTCTGCTGTGTCTACTTTGTGTTTCTGGCTGACAATTTTAAACAGGTAGAGTTCTTCTGAAAAACAGGGAAGGGTGAGAATCAAGTGGAGATGTTGTTCAAGGCTCTTCCCAAGCCAAAATGTTTGGGTTTGAACCTTGGGTGTTTGATTCTCCTCTGAAAACCTGTGGTATAAAGAGACCTTGTCTTGTCTTGCCTGTGTTGCCATCAGCTGGCTCGAGGTCCTTTGACTCTACTTGGCTGATGTCATCCCTACATAAGGAAGAGAAGCTCTCTTCAAGGGCTGGTCTTGGGTAGCTTTTGTAATCCTTAGCAGCAGACTGGAGGAAGCCTCAGTAGGTGGTGCCCTTTAGTGTTACTCCTGTGGAAGCCTTTAGTAATGGAACTTTATCTGTAGAGTGCACAGCTCTGTTGAGGCTGCTGGGCAGGCTTAGGTGTCAGGATCCCTCTGCCCTTGACAGAAGCCAGGGTTGTATCTCTCAGATATGGGGTGTCGAAATCCTTAGCCCTAAAGGCTGTGTTAATGGAGTTAGGGTCAGAGCCCATGCCCTAGCTCTTTAATAAGCCAGGTAAAGCCACCTGTCCTGAATAAGTCAATTAAAAGGGTAGAATTGAAGATGAAGAGCAAAGAAAGACTTACTCAGTATGGCCTCACTGGGAGGAAGGATTCATGGATCCCCACCAAGGGTCCTGACAGGAGATTAATAAGAGGGAAAGAGATAATTATAATTAAGTAGCTTTGGCCAAGGTATGGTCCTGTTGTCACTGGCCCATCATTGTCCCCCCTCCAGTCTCTCCTGCAAGGTTGTTTGATAGGTTGTTTTGTTGGCACTGTGTGGAATCCCTTCCCTTTTCCATCTGTCTAGTTCCCTGCCTGGCCCCTCCTGTTCTCAGCATAACATTCCTGGGGCAATTCCAGTTGCCTAGGATTCTAGAGTCCAGATATGGAGAACGAGGGACACAAGTGTTTTTTTGTTTTGTTTTTGTTTTTTGTTTTTGTATTTTTTTGTTTTGTTTTGTTTTGTTTTGAGTGTCCACCTTCATTTCAGGCATGCCAGTTACAGCTGGATCAGGGCCCGCTTCTCTGCTTCCTGAACACCAGCAGGATTGCTTAGGATCAGAATGGGAAGAGCTGACCATGGAATTTCCCTCATCTGTCTCCCACATCCTTCTGTCTTTTGTGAAACATGATCAAACCCAACATAGATGGTTTGCAGCAAGGAAGACTCCCAGGAAGGTTCCTCAGCCATAGGTGCCTACATAAGATGCCAAGTTCACACACCTGATCCTGTCAGAACCCTCTCCAGCTGGATACCCACAGGCTCTGTCACTGAGGGCTTTCCTCCTTTCTTCTCCTGCCAGGTGATAGAGGCGGCCAA